GGGCGCCTCGCGCTCGGGGAGGGTCCGCCGCAGTTTCGCCCGGGGGCCCGCCCGTGGGCGCCTCGAGGGCGCCCTGCGAACTTCTCGGGAGGGTCGTGGGACGCCCACCCGTGGGCGTCCCGTGGACGTCTCGTGCGCTGGGCGGCCGCGTAGCTTCCAGCACACCGCCTGCACCAGATCCAGTCCAGTCGCATAGTAAGGATCCTTGCATCGTTGCCCTTTCGGCCCATCCTTTTGCGGTTCTCGCTGGCCCAATCCCGCTCGAGAGCGCCAAGATCACATCATCACTGCGCAGACTTATTCTGCGACTTGACTGTAGCTTTTACCACATAGCTTACACCGCTGAGTTTACACCTCTTAGCTTACACCACATAGCTTACACCGCATCGCTTGCACCTCATAGCTTACCCCTGGACGGCTTTGCTTGCGCCACAAGGCGCGCACCGCATAGCTTGCACCACGTAAATTTGGTGACGCACAGATTCCTGTCAAAAGAAAAATAGACTCGGTACCCCCTGGGACACGGCAAAATACATTTGGTGTTGCTTCATCGTTCGCTTTCCGTACGGAATCGTACGATCTCTGGCAGACGGGGCATCGCAAGTCCTCATCTTTGTCGAATAAGATTGTGCGCATGCTGTCTTGTATCGCAACAGATCATGTTTCAATATTCCTCCGCAGTCCACACGACACGCAGTCCACACGCGCGCTCACAGATCGAAGCCGTACCAACCACAACACATCTGCAATAAGTTCAACATGAACGCATCGGAAGCCCGTACGTGTTTCAGCATTGATCTCGAACATGTTTTGCCCGCGCGCCTTTGCTGACATCAGACGGGAACCAGATGATTTTAGTTATCTCGCCCAGCACCCGCACTCTAATGGACGTCTTAGTTGCCCGTGGTTGGAAGTATTGGTGCCTCGCCCCAGTGAAAGCGCAGTACCGCAACAGTCCGTGCCAGGTAATCTCCCGAGGCGCTAATTTCGACGGCTGCGAACTCATCGCGGGGGTCTGGCACTGGCACGGCTGTCCTTTTTCACCATTGCTCTTCGTTTTGATCGCCGACGTGTTACTACTCTTCCCCGATCTGGTTCCCAAGTCCAACCAGCGGGCCTACGCGGACGACTTCGCGATGACCCTCGCCCACGGCTCCAATGACGCCCCCATCCTCGAGCGCGCCTTCGACGAACACGAGTGGCTGGCGAGGCTCTGGTGGCACCAGGGAAAGACCGTGTGGGTTCTTCTCTCCTTGACGCCGCTGGAGGCGGCCCTGGAGAGCTTGCACGCAGCCGCGCCTACTTGGGGTGAGCTCGCGGTGCGCCGACACGCCACGCACCTCGGTGTCGAGATGGAGCTCGAGCCAGGGGACTCGTCTTGGACCAATCCGCTCGAAATGTACATCGCGCGGGCACGTGTGTGGAAAGCCACGTGAGGGCGGCATGTTCCCCAGCATCCTGGCCTACCGCGTCTACATGTTATCCGTTCTGTGCTTCCTGATGCACGTGGACGTTCTACCATCGAAGTGGCACGATTACGAGCAGAACGTGTGCGCGGTGCTGGCCTCGCTGCTGGACGTCGCCAGCCGCCCTCCTGGACCTTCGTTCCCTGGGTTTCCCGCCGCAGCTACCCGACGCTAGCGCGGCAGCACTGGCAGCCAAATGCCGGGTGCACCGTGGGGAGGCCGACGCCGCCAGCGCTTACAGATCTAAAGCCGGCGCCACAGTTTGCAGGACAAGATCGACGAATCGAGCCGGGTTGTGCAAGTGGGCACGTGGTCGACGTTGTACACAGGCAACTTCATCCTGAGCTTAAGTCGGGCCTGTCCCTCTACAGGGGGAATGCCCAAAAATAGTCCAAAAATTGTCTTGGGACGATTTTTGGATAACTTTTGAATAGTTTCAGGATTTGTTTTGACTATTTTTTTCCGTCCGAAATCGGCCTGTAGGGGGACAGGCCCGACTTCATCCTGAGCTCCTGCGCGGCCCAGTGCGGCCTCAAGTCCCGTGCCGCGGTGGCCGGCTTGAGGTCGCCCTGCTGTTCCAGGGCCCTTCCTCTGAGCCGACGCCTCGGCCGCAGTGGCAAAGGCGGTGTCGCGGGCTGCTGGCCCGGCCCGGCCAGGTGTGCACCACCTGTGAGTTGTCTCGTACTTCCCGTCTTCCGCGCCTCTTTCTTTTGCTCCTCCTCCTCCTCTTCCTTCTTTTCCTCCTCCTCCTCCTCATTCTCATTCTCCCGCCTCCCCCTCCGCTTCTTCCTTGGCCGACGCACGCCGCGCGCGCTGGATGTGCTGCGAGGCCTGGCGCCGTCTGTGTCCCCTAGAGTTTGGGCTGCCCTCCACAGGGCGCCGTGCGACAGCTGGCCAACAGCCCATCGTGTTGGGCTGTAGGCATCGTGCCCTGTTTCGGATGCGCGCGCAGCGAAGATATCCTGCTTCACTTCGCGCAATGCTACCGCGTAACGGAATTGGGCCACAAGCGCTTGCGTTTATCTCGCCCCGCCCCATCATAAAGGCAGCCATGTTTCGTCGCTATGGTGCGGGCCGGCTTTTTCTGAAGGTGCAGCGCCGGAGGTACCCCGTTGCGCTTGGGCAGCGCATGGTGCATGAGTTGCCTCTTGTGCCGCCTGGCATAGCGCTGCCACGGACGCAGATGTGCAAGGTGGCAGTGCGGTCGCGAGGCTTGCGCGGCCCACCCACCACCAACAACCGTTCCTGCCCAACATGGCAAGACTAGTTAGTTGATGTTCCGTTGTCCCCTCTTCCTTTTTCTCTCCCCTTCCCCGCTCTTTGCCCTCCCTCTTCTTCCTGTCCATGTTGCACGCGCGTTGCTTTACACGACCCATGGCTAAGTATTTGCTCCACCCGCAGTCCCGTGCGCGCCGAGGAGGGTGTTGCAGTGGCCGCGCATTTGCTTATCATATCGTCGTTGCTCTCCTGCTCGTTCTCCTCTTCACCGCCTGGTCTCACCGATGCGATTTTTGCTGTGCATTCGTATCGTTCTGTGTTTGCTTGGTGGTCTGGTGTTTTGTGTTTCAGGGGATCGCCGCATGCAGGGCAATTGCATCGACGTTTTGTTTGTTCTGGCCTGCATTAGCTTGCCAGCAGCAGGTTGGTTTGTGCGGAGTTCGCGAGTTGCATGGAGTTGCTTTGGTTCGCGACTCGACCTTCTCGTGCTTCAGCTTTGAGCCAACCGCCGCTCAGTGACCGCTTACAAGCGCCACCGCCCGCAAGAGAGTAACTCTCTTGAGCCAGCCACCGTCCAGCGACGTAGACAAACTCTCAGAGTTTGTCTACGTCGCTGGACTGTTCATGTGCGCGTCGTCCGAAGTAGAGTGCCTGCTTGACGATTGGGCCGCCAAGCTTGTCATCGTCATGACGTGTCCGCTCCCCTTTGTCCCCTCCAAAAGTTCGTTCGTAAAACACGGCCGCAGTCTCACGTCATCGCGCGGTGTATCTGCAAAGACCCAACATGCGCCCAGCGCAAGAATTCGTTTCCGATGGTGATTTGCGGGCCACGCGGGCACGCCGCCACGCAAACGTGCCGACATTTATCCAAAGAGACTCTCTGAGCGTTTCACCATCGATCTCTTCATCAGCCCTGACAACAACATGTTTTCCAACAAAACGTTTGCCAGGGTTCACGATTTTGACCCCCCCCATCTATGTAACGGCATCAAGTTTTTAGGACACATGTGCTTGGCGTTCAGGCGAAGGTTTCGTTTTCCAAACGGCTCGTGTTCCGCACTGGTGTATCTATATGTGTGTATGCCGCGCATTTTTGGCTCCAGGGATACAATATTTGTTTTGCGAGGTCTCAAGCGAAGCGCCCGGCCCGACCTATCGACACGTTTGGAGTGCGACAGGGTGGATCAATTTCTCGATGTTTGTACATATATAGATATGTACATATATGTATATACATGTATATCACATATTTCCCAAAGTGGACCCCATCCAGCGGGTTGTTGCAGCGTGGATGTGCGGCCTACGTGCTGCAAGCTATGCGGTGTAAGCAACGAGGTGCAATTCACTAGCGCCACTGCTCAGTTGCCAAGTCCATTGTTCACGCAAACACCCCACCCTCCCGACCACAGCTTTCATTGCAAAACCCATGCGGTCGCGATTGCTGTGACTGCTTGGCGCTGTCTGGCGCAGCTTTGGAGCCGCGCTCGCGCGCTCAAGCTCGCGGGCAGAACGGGCCGTTGGTTTAGCACATTTGATTCGGCCGCGATGGAACATACCGATGCGTGCAGGCACATGGTATTATTCGATGGTGATGAAACGGGGTCAGTGCCGGCCTTGCTGGGATGGTGTGGTTTCATAGATTTCAATGTGGGCGATGGGGAAGAGTCGTGCGTAAATTGTAGTATGTCGTTGGGAACCGATATGTCCGGGCCTGGGGCGGTGGTTGAGTTTGTTGGTTTTTGTTGAGAAGAGACCACATATGTGGTTGAAGCCATGCTTTACATGCAAAACGGAGTCAGGCATGTGGTGCAGGCAATGTCTTGCAAGCTATCTGGTGCAAACGATGCGGTGAGCATATATGTGATCTAACGTAATTTGCAATATTTATATATATATATATATATATATATACACGTATAAGTTGCGTGATGCAATGAACGCGGCAACAACTACATAGTGCTATTGCTTAGGCCGTCTTCATGTCCTTAACTCCAATGCCCGCGCGAACATGCCACCATCGCACCCGGAATTTCTTCGGCAAAACCCATTCTGCGACGATTGCGATTCCCAGTTGGAGTTTGCTAGCGCGTCTCTACGGTCGCTCTGGCGCGCGCACGCTCACGCGCAGAGCGGTCAGCTTGTTTGGCGCAGCTGATGCGACAACGATGGCGCTTACCGATGGGAACCTGCCAACGCGTGTCAAAGGCCGCGTTGGTTGCCGGACGCCCCAGTGCGGGTCGGTGATTCAGGCGTGCGCGATATCAGGATGACGCCAGCAGCGTCTTTAACAATGATAAGGGTGATGGTGGTGATGCCAATGGTGGTTGCGATGATGAAGATGACGATGACGACGATGACGGCGCCGATGCCGGTGACGACGATGGTTATAGTGATGTCCATGATTCGGTGATGAAGGTGATTGTGATGATTATGGCGGCAATGGCGGCGATTTGGAGATGACAACGACGGCGGCGATACGATGGTGTTGATTGAGGTGATAGGGAAGAACGCGCGCAGACAGTCAAGACACATGGCAGACTTGATGTTGACATAACGCTTAAGTTTGGTTTCATGTGCCCGTGGTTATTGAAGAGTCCTAGCTTCGTGCATTGGGAGGATGCTAGGTACTCTCGTCATTGCATCTGTTCCTTTCAGATACACGAGTGCGCGCGCATAATTACCCCAGGGGGTATCGTTACTCGGTGTGTGTGTGGGGGGGGGGGGGGAAATATGCGGACGCCCAGCGCACGAGGCGCCCCCGAGCCTACGGGCGGGCACCCAGTGCCCACGCGGCCCGCACGGGCGAGCATCAGGCGACACCCTGTCGCACCCCACCAGCGCACGAGGCGCCCTCGCGGCGCCCGCGGCAGACACCAGGCGGAACGTTGGCACACCCGCCCAGCGCACGAGGCGCCCACGAGCGCCCACGGGCCAGCACCGGGCGACGTCTCGAAGCACGCCTGCCCAGTACGAGGCGCCCACGGGGCGACCACCGATCGGGCACCAGCCAGACCCCCGACACACCCATCCGGCTTCTGGAGCAAGCTGAGCAAGGCCCCGAAGAGCGGGCATCGTTTGGGTAAACCTCAACATGTAGGAGAAAAAGGGAAGGTGGAAGGAGGAGGATCATGGAGGAGGTCAAAAAGGAGGAAGGGAAGAGGGGATGGTAAGGGATGATGATGAATAGGAGGAGGAGGAAGAGGAGGAGGAGGAGGAGGAGGAGGAGGAGGAGGAGGAGGAAGAGGAGGAGGAGGAGGAGGAGGAGGAGGAAGAGAGGAGAGAGGAGAGAGGAGAGAGAGAGAGAGAGAGAGAGGAGAGGAGAAAGGAGAGGAGAGAGAGAGAGGAGAGAGGAGAGAGAGAGAGGAGAGGAGAGAGGAGTGAGGAGGAGACAGGATGAGCAGGGTGCAGGAGGAAGGAGGGAGGAGGGAGGAGGGAGGACGACTAAGAAAGTGTAGATCGCGCATGCAGGCCATGGCCGCGATGCCACCCGCGCAGCTGCAGCTGTGCCTCGGCAACATGCAGAGGCTCGCGCAGGACCCCCCGCGCGTGCCCTGAGGGGCTCGGCAACCCCCTCCGCGCCAGCCATCGGCGGTATTTTGCGGCCTTCGGTAGCCCTCGGCGGCCTTCGGTGGCCCTCGGTAGCCCAGGCAGCGGTGCGGAGGGTGCATCGGCGTCGTCGCAGTCGGCGGCACTCCCGTGACACCTGGAGCCGTGAATTTCGCATTGCATGGGCCCTCGAACCTCTTGAGCCATGGGCCCAGGAGGCTCCCTGGACCCAGGGCCCCCCCGGGACCCACGGCATTGGGCGAGCACCGTGGATGAGGCGATGAGGCACCTCATCATCTGGAGCCACGGGGCCCTTCTTGACCCCACCTCATATGAGCGTTTTTGTTCCTCCCCAGGGTGGCTCTCGTTATCGGGGCCAAGCCCCCTTCCCCGGGTAACGCTCACAATCGTACTGGGGGGGGGAGGAGGCCTGGACCCCTCCGGCATGCTGGGGGGCGGACCCCCTGCAGGTATGGAAGACCCGGCGTTCGTGCAATCCGACCTGGGCTCACTGGAATCTGTTTCGCAAGCATTCTGGTGAATCTCGCTCAAACTGAAAGCCCTCCCTCCCTCCCTCCATGCTCCCCCGCAGGCGCACGGAAGAAGAATAAGTTCAAATTGCGGACGTGTACCCTCAACCTTTGGGGCATACCCCCGTGCGTCGCCCAGGAATCTACAGGAATCCTGAGAGGCTTCCGGGCGGGGTCGTTCCAGCAGGTCCGCCCCTTGGCTGCAATTCTGGCTCAAGCATGGCCCGCTCTCCTTGGGCGACCTCCCCCTCTCCCCCTCTTCCTTCATCAATTTCCTCCTCCCTCTCCTATCCCCCATCCAGGTCATGCTGATGCCCAGAACCGCCGTTTTGCAATTGTTTTTTCTCCTCCAGTTTTGGAGTGTCCCACTCGCTGGGAGGAGCGTCTGGGGTGGGAATGCCGCAGCTCATGTTGAGGCCCAGAATGGCCCCCATAGGCTGCCCCCTCGGTTACCCACCCCCCCTAAAAGGCTACCCCCATAAGCTGCCGCCCCCCTATTGGCTGCCCCCCGCAGGCTGTCCCCCAAGGCTGCCCCCGCACTGGCTGCTCCCCATAGGCTGCCCCTTCTTGCCTGGCCCCTCATATAGGCTGCCGCCCGTTGCCTGACCCCCCATAGTCTGCTCCGCATAGGCCGCCCCCCAAAGGCTCTCCCCCATAGGCTGTCCCCCGTCGGCAAATTCTGGGAACCCCTCGTTGCCGCTCGCCCAGCCAAGAACAAGTAGTGTAGCGCGCCACCCTTATTCCGAAGTCGCCCGCCATGCTCAAGCAGCAGGGCCGCGCGCACCAAGAATAGTACTGTTAAGGTTTTATGCTTCGTCGGCAAAATCTGGCCCCCAGACCGGCATCATAACAATGATATTTCATATAATTATGTTTCCGAGCATTTTCAGATTTTGGGGTAATTCTAGGGTCACCCTGGAATTACGTCCAAAGAGCCGAGACGAAGTGGCTCATCGATAGGCTTGAGCAGTCGCCGCCGTCATGTCATAGGTATGGCGCTGTGCTCACAGGCATGGCGTGGTGCTGAAACGCATACTTTGGTGCTCACATCGGCGACGTGGTCCTGCACTTCACGCGGCTGTTGCGGTGTACGGATGCATTGTGGTGTACACAGGCGGCGCTGTGTTGATCGCAGGCATTGGGCATTGCGGGTGGCCCGGACGCACCCTGGCAGGTGCTCACCGCGGCCGCCGTTACAGTCATCCCCACGCCCGACCCCCCCCCCGTGGCAACGACCGTTATCCAGGAACGGAAAAAAAAGGTCACCATAAGATGTCCAGGGACCAGTTTTTCATCCTGGACTCTCTGAGTTGACGGCCCTTGGGCTTCCGGCTCGGGCCTCCAGGGGGCCATCATGAAAGGTTGATTCGCCATCACGATGGCTTTGTGACGCTGGATAGGGACGGGTTTGCCCTGCACGAGGCGTCCCAGCTCGGCGCTCGATCAGCCGCCGAGGCTCTGGACGGGCAGCGGCCGAGCGGGTGCCGCCGTGCCGGCCGCCGGCGGCGACTGATGGCTGGAGGTGCCCGGCACCGCTGGAAGGATGAGGCGCCCCCTCGCACCTGCCGCCGCGTTCGTCAGGGCAAGCGTCGGGGGGGGGGGGGGACAATCGCCTCCTCGGTGCAGCGCGCGGGGGCTGGAACGCCTCTGGCGCGGCAGGGCCGTCCGCGACAGGGCTCGGCTTGGGCCAGCCGGCTGGCTGGCGTTTGCCAAGGAGCGCAGGGCACGGTGCTCGGCCAACATGCAGTTCAGAGTGACCCTTCGCTGGGGTGACCTTTGGTGCGCGGCTTCTCCAGTGGGGGGTCGCCAGGGGGTGGGGGGCCAGAACCCGTGCGCGCACGGCGCCACCGCCGCGCCGCGTGCGACGATGGGCAGGCCGCGCACCAGAGGGCCACCCTCCCGTTGGCAGCCGAGCACCTCCCGCCCGTCTCGGAGCCGACGCCGTCGCCCGCGCCCCGCCCGCGCGCGCGCCGCCGCCGCCTCGGCTCCGCAGGCTGGGCCCCGAGCGGGCCCAGGCGCTGCGCCGCGCCCCGCGCGCGCGCGCGCGGCGACCTCGGGCGGCCGAGACCTCGCGCTGGGCGGGGAGGAGGCCCGCGCCAGGAGAGAGCCCTGAGAGGGCAGTGCGGTGGGGCTAGCGTCAGCGGTCGTGACAGGAGGAGGAGGAGGAGCAGGAGGAGGAGCAGGAGGAGGAGGAGCAGGAGGAGAGGAGGGAGGAGGAGCAGGAGGAGGAGGAGGAGGAGGAGGGAGGATCAGGAGGGGAGCAGGAGGAGAGGAGGAGCGAGGGGAGGAGGAGGAGGAGGAGGAGAGGAGGAGGGGCGGGTAAAGAGGCTAGGGGAGTCGGGGGGATGGGGAGAGGAGGGGAGGAGGAGGGAGGAGGAGGAGGAGAGGAGGAGGAGGAGGAGGAGGAGGAGGAGGCGAGGAGGGCGATGGGGGGAGGGTTGAAGGGGGCGGGATCGGGAGGAGAGGGGCTAGGGGGGGCAAGCCAGGTGTGCGATCGCGCCACCGTCTGCCCTCCGGCTTGGGTGTATTCAAGGCTTTGATCACATCGTTCACTGCGCAATTGCACGGGTGTAGGTTTTGTACAGAGGAGGAAGAGGAGGAAGAGGAGGAGGAGGAGGAGCAGGAGGAGGAAGATGAGGCGGCGGACGAGGAGGAGGAGGAGGAGGAGGACGGAGGAGGAGAAGGAGGAGGAGGAGGAGGAGGAGGAAGAGTCCAAGCTCCCTCTTCATAGGCCCCTACAAGGGTTCATGTCCACTGAGGGAATGAACCCGATGGAAGACAACCGTTCGAATACCCTGAAGCATGCCGAATCATTATTATCTGGACCCCAACGCCACGGATCAACCTGATTGTTCCGTCTTGACGATCCTGATTCCTGCCAGAATTCCATTTCTGGGACTTCAAAACCGCGAATTAATGTAATTGTTGCACCCCCATGATCCTGGATCTTTCCAAAACACAATTCCTGGTACGTTGACCATTGGAACCCGTGAAACTCTTGTCATTGTTTAATCGACTGTGCGCGGCGCTAAGGCGAGAGCCACATTTTGAAAACGGCCCGTCCTCAATCCGTGAAACTTTTGCACATGCTTAATCCGAATGCGCGCAGCGCGAAGGCGAACGCCACATGTAGAAAACGGCCCGCACTCAATCCGTGAAATTCTTGCCCATGTTTACATCGAATGCGCGCGGGGCTAAGGCGAGAGCCACCTTTTGAGCGACCCGCACTCAATCCGTGAAACGATTGCAATTGTTTAGAACGAATGTGCGCGGCGCTGACGCGAGAGCCACATGTTGAAAACGACCCGCCCTCCATCTGGGAAGCTGTTGCCAATGTTTAAGTTTCAGAGTATGACCCGCCATCCATCTGTGAAATTGTTGCCAATGTTAAAGTTCAAGAGTTATGACTGGTGAGGAAGTCTTAGGCGAAACGCCCCACCCGCCCTTTCGACTGGCCTTGGGGTGTGGCAGAGATCATATCTGTTGCCAGGAAATGGAATTAAGGGAGGAGAAAGAGGAGGAGGAGGAGGAGGAGGAGGAGGAGGAGGAGGAGGAGGAGGAGGAGGAGGAGGAGGAGTAACAGGAGGAGGAACAGGAGGAGGAACAGGAGGATAATGCGAAGAGGGGGTAAAAAGAGAGGGACGGCAGCGACAAGGAAGGAATAGGATTCAGAAATGCGGCATGCGCAAGGGGAGGCAGCGCCGTTCGGAGCGAGAGGTGCAACGCATCGATCCTGAGTTGTGGCCGACGATGCATCGGAAACATCTGTTTGACAGAGCGGACGTTCCGACTGCGACCACGCAGAGGAAGCCAATGCATGATTTTGCTTCGAGCGACACCCCACCGAGAGCGCGAGGCGGGATCCCCATGGATGGAGCACCCGCACCGCTGGAGCCCGGCGGCCGTGCGCACTGTCGGGGGCGCAGGGGAGAGCTACGCACCCACGTGGAAAGGGACTGCAGCGGGGGGCAGGAGGGATCGGGAAGCGGAGGCGGCAGGCGGGAGGCGGGAGGAGAGACAGAGGAGGAGGAGGAATGGAGGAGGAGGAGGAGGAGGAGGAGGAGGAGGAGGAGGAAGAATGGAGGAGGAGGAGGAAGCGAAGAGGGGGGGGGATGGCCACGTCAGGACGACAGTTCTGCCATCAGTGGGTCAGCGGGTCCGGAGCAGCAGAAGGAACAGGTGGAGCAGCAGAAGGAGGAGGAGAAGGAGGAGGAGGGGGAGGAGGAGGAGGGGGAGGAATTGGTGGTGGAGGAGGAGGGGAGGCCGAGTCTCGCTCCAGCCCCCCGCCCCGCTCGCGTGTTTCGGCCGCCCCGATCTCCCGCTCCGGAGCGAGGCGTGCGGCGCATGCTCCTCTCGGCGGCGAGCGAGGGGGGGAAGAACGAGAAGGAGGCCCCGGACTTCTGAGAAGGCTCGGAAGGGCCCTTTGACTTCTGAGAAGTTTCCCACTGCTTCCCCGAAGACACAGAACACTCCTCGGAAGGCGCGAGGGCTTCTGAGAAGTCTCGCCGCCTTCTGAGGAGCCTTCTCCTTCTCGCTTCCCCCCTTCGCCCGCCGCCGATCCTCTGACCGACGTGGCCCCGCCGACCGACCCACGCCAGCCCGCGCGCGCGGACCGGCGATCGGGCGGGGGCGCCATGAACGCCATGGGGTCCATGCAGGTCAACCGCATCGCCAACAAGGTCACCTCGACCTACATCATGGACCGGCCGCGCGCAGAGGGCGGCATGGGGAGGGGGGAAGGCGTCTTAGGAGCACCCCTGGTTCTTAGAAGGCGCGGGCCTTGTCTGTAGATGCAAGGCCCGCGCCTTCTAAGAGCAGCCTCTTTCTAAGAAGCCTTTCACCCTCGCCCTACCCCCTTGTGCGCGCCGCCACATGTAGGGACGGTCGCGGGGAGCATGGCAGTCGGGCGGGCGGGCAGGGGGGCAAGTCAGTACGTAGTTGGGTGGCAGGTGCAGGTGCAGCAGCAGCAGGACGAGGAGGAGGAGGAGGATGAGGACGAGGAGGAGGAGGAGGAGGAGGAGGAGGGACAGGAGGAGGGAGCACCAGGATGATGATCAGGAGCAGCAGCAGGCGGGGAGGAGGAGGGTAATGATGACCAGGAGCATGGGGAGGACGACGAAAAGCAAGGAGGAGCTAGGAGGAGGAGAGGTGAGGACGAGCAGAAGGATGAGAATGCAGGAGAAGGAAGATGGTGGAAAGGATGATCAGGAGGACCAGAAGGCGGAGAAGGGAAGGAAAATGAGGAGAAGAAGGGGGAGAATGAGAAATATGATGATTCGGACTAGGTTTTAGGACGACGGGGACAAGGGGAGGAGGACAAGGAGGGACAGGGGAATGTGGAGATGCGGATGTCAGGGGCGTGAGAGAGCTCAAGGGACGGAGGAATGGAAAGGGGACGGGAACGGAGGAGTGCAAGGGCAGAGGGAGAGGGAGAGGAGGGAAACGGGGGTGGGATAACGGGGAGGACCCGTACTCCATGCTCATGCACTACAAGCGGGCATTCAAGCTGCTGTCGTTCATGAAGCAGAACAAGGCTAAGGTCCTGATTCTCGGAAATAAAAACCAGTTCGGCATCGACTGGAAGGGCCGTTTCGAGGGGATCGATTTCGACACAGGCATTGTCGACGAGAAGGTGATCTCGTCGGCGCCCAAGCACTACCAGCTCATCCTGTGCTTGGACCCGGCTCTGTACGCGCGGTCCCTGCATCGCATCAGCGTTCCGGTGATGATGTGTGCCACGGAGGGGAGGGGTGGAAGACCAGAGGGGGGGGGGGCGTGGAAGAGTGCCAGTCGGCGACGGCCAGAAGTGGGGTGAGGACTATCGGGGGTGATGGAGATCATCATGGCATGGGCCATGCCATCTCCAGGACTTCAGGGCGCCATCTCCTATCGAGACGTCCCCTGGTCCCCCGGCCGCGCACATGCCTCGGGCCATGATTTGCGACGTTCCTTCTTGGTCGCCCCCGACCAGTGGGGGAAAGGGCACACGTACGGGCGCGTCGGCGACAGCCCAGGGCCCTGGACGGCGTGGCCCAGGCGGGCAGAATGTGCTGGTCGCCGAGCCCGAGAGCGACCATCGGCGACCGGAGGGGAGCGAGAGGGAAGCGCCGGGAGGGGACGGAGGAGAGGGAAGCTGCGGAGGGGGAGCCGGAGGTGGAGAGGGGGGAGGACGCTGAGAGGGCGGAGACGTTCAGGAGGGAGAAGGTAGGAGAGAGGAGGAGGGCAGAGAAAGGATGGGTGACGATGACGACGACGACGACGGCGACGATGACGACGAGGATGCTGTTGCTTCTGCTGGTGATGATGATGATGATGATGATGATGATGCTGATGATGATGATGATGATGATGATTTAATTAAATTCAGTTCTTACAAATGCCTCCTCTCTATAAAGAACATTTTTGAGCTTTTTCTTGGCCTTTATTTCGCAAATCCCGAGATATACCCCGAGATAAATCCCAAGATGAACCTCGAGATAAAGCTCGAGATAAACCCCGAGATAAACCTCGACCCTGCGGTAAACCCAAAGATAAACCTCGAGATAAAATTCGGCCCTGCGATAAACCCGAAGATAAACATCGATATAAAACTCGGCCCTGTGATACACCTCAAGATAAACCTCGGCCCTAAGATAATTTCCAAGGTGAACTTCAATAATACGAACAACATGAGATGAACACTTAAGTTCGGCGTATACAACAGGTCACTTAGGTGCACGGCACTTGGGCGTACGAGCACTTGGGCGCGCGACCACGTATTCACCAAGAGGGACCCAAGAGGCCACCAAGGGAGCTCCAATAGTTCGGCGGGAGGGGGCCCCGAAGAGGGCTCGGCAGAAAATCCCAAGAAGGCCCCCAAAGTGGCCTAAGAGCCCCTATGTGGCCCAAGAGTGGGCGACCAGGAGCGAGACAGAGGGGCCTTGTTTGTGCGTGTCCACGGTTCATTGGCATCTTTAGCAGTTCCACGTCCAAGCCATTGCGGGCCATTGCCATTTGCTCGAGCCTTCTGATGTCGGAGGCAGGACCACGCCCGTCAGATAATGAAGATGGAGATGTGTTAATTGCCAATGAGGTTGTTGCAGGTAGTAACCCTGATATGGATGTTGAAGTTGCAGCGGCAGTATTGGACTCTCACAGGCAACGCCCGACCAGACAGAGAATATTGGAGAGGGCCCGCTTGCAAAAAGCCAAAAACTCTGCCAAGGTCAAAGTCGCTAGGTTCATGACAAAACGCATTGGCAGAGTCAATAGGAAAGCGATCCGCAAAATAGAATGCATCGACCTCACTGCCACGGAAGAGAAGTATACACGTTCTGATCGTAAGAAGTGGTTGCCTCATGCAGTCATCGACGCTTGCTTTTGCGAGCGGGTTCCGGCGCATGAGAAGTTCAGTTGTTCCATTGCTGCCAAACGTATGCGGGCGAAACGTGGCATCAAGAGAGACAAGACCATCGTCAAGGCTAACCCCATGACCAAGTCGACTTCGGCAGTAGCTCAGTCTGCAGAGGGTGGCACTACGTGCGTTCAAGAAATTCGGGATGCAGTCGCTCAGCTTGTCTGGAGAACAGAAGTCGATCTAATCAAGGCCAGCGTACCTTGCGAGCACGCCGTGGTCGAGCTCGCACTGGATGAGACAGAGCACACAGTCGGCGTCACGACATCCTACCGCATCAAGAAGAAACACCGCATCATCAACCAGACAGTGCCGTTGCTCGTCGTCCATATCTATGTCACGTTTTGTCACACTGGTTCGAGCGACCCCACGAAGCTGCAAATCGCTGCGCCCATGCTCGCGCTTGCAGGCAAGACAGGGGACTGCCATACGCAGGCGTTGAAACAGGTCGGGTCATCTATTATGGAAGATATCATCACTGGGTCTCGCAACGCCACCTTCGTTTTTGTGACTGATTGGGCGAAGGCCAATCGCAGGCTGTACAGGGTGATCGTCCGCAGCATTGGTTTCAAGCTTGCTTTACATTCCAGGTGCTTCCCTCCTTCCCTGATCCACCAGGGGTGGAGGGCGCATGACGGAGGCATGAGGGATGAAGGAAGGAGAGGGCGAAAGAAGGAGGAGGGGGATGGAGGAGAGAGGAGGAGAGCCAGAAGACGGACGAGGATCGGCGACACGAGTAGGAGGAGGAGGAGGAGGAGGAGGGAGATGAGGAGGGGGGTGGATGAGGAGGACGAGGGGGCGAGTGGTTCCATTTTCGGTTCAGACGCGCGGTTGTGGAACCACCACGCGCGGAGACGGGTGGAGGGGGAGGAGGAGGAGGAGGAGGAGTTGCAGCTGTGAGAAAACAATCCGCTGCACTTAAGGACCTTTTAAGTGCAGCGAGATATTCTGCCGAAGAAATCTACGAGGAGGAGGATGAGGAAGGAGGAGGATGGAGGAAGGAGAAATAGAACGAGAAGAAGCCAGGAGGGAGAGGAGAAACAGAGGAGAAGGAGGATCCGCCGTGTTTCACCAGGTGCAATATGCATCAGGTATCGCTTGCGGTCTCTGCGGCAGCTAGCCCTCTCAAGGTGGTGGGTCCCTTATTCTGCGGGGCCAATGTCTTGAAGCATGGGTCCACTCAACAGCGCCTTGCAGACAAATTGCAACGACATCTCCACAACAACGTCGACGTCGTCGTGGCGGACGCCCGGACGCCAGAACACGTGGCTTACATCGATAAGTTGTTAGACTTACTTCATGGGGACGAGGCGCTGTTGTCAGCGGAGTTGTTTCGACGGCCAGAGATTGCGAAAGAGAAGCTTGACGATCTCATCGCTGATCTCAAGACCTTCCTCCACGGCCCCTTGGACCAGGGGCGGTTCGTGCATTTCTGCACGTTCGGTTGTTGTGACGGAGGGGTTCGTCAGTCCGAAGCCCGACTAGTTGAATTGTTGTCGCTTCTTTTCCTCAACAGGGTTCCTGGAATTCCAGCGTTGAACAAGTGGACTCAGCTGTATCCGTCGCTGAGTTGGTGGTGCGTCGCATTTCACCTTCACCAACTCTTGCCCATAATTTGGAGCCGGGTATTCTCAAATGGCGGCGCCGAGCAGAACGCCGTCCTTCTTGATCTGTTGGCCCCGGCCGATGAAGAGACTCTATCTGCGCTGCACACGGTCAGGGCAGGAAAGGTCAAGCGGTGGTTGCGGCACCCGCTGACGAAGGCGGAACTGCTCATCGTGACCATATCCGTCCGGGCCGTCCTGAGCTCCATGGGTTTCCTCTTCAAGCAGGAGCGCTCCTCGGCGGACCAGAACGTCACCGCCTTGCTGAAACAACCGAGCGCAGGAACTCAAGTCGTGTCCTTCCTGATCGGCTGCTTGCGCAACCTAGGCTCGAACTTCTGGGAGGTGCATCGGTGCGGCGGCCTTGACGAGGCGAAACTTCAAATCGCATTGGACGTGATCATGCATGTATCAGCTTCCCTTTGTCATCGGATTGTCTACTCGCTAGGGCAGCTACCCTGGGGACTCTGGCGCATCATCGACACCGACCTGCCCCATGAAGAGAGGTTGCGCTGGAAGACTGCTTTGGACCAGATATGTCCAGCATGCTTGGGCGCCAATTTCACCGCCGAGCTGCTGAAGGGCTGCAATGCCGACGACCTCCTGGACGAGACTTCTGAGCACCATCAGCGTGTGCGGAGGAGTTTCGAGAACTGCCGCGCCACCAACATAATGTCAGAGACTCGGTTTGCACGGATAACCAAACATCTGAATGCGTCGAAGTTCGGCCGGGCATGTGCAGTGTCCACGGTCGCGAGTAAGCACCTCCTGAGCGAGCTGAGTTCCATGCACAAGCAAGCCGTGGAGGCGTGGGAGTTGAAACACCCGCGCCCGCACGTCGATCAGAATCAGCCCAGCCAGAAAGCTAAATCTGGATGGCATCTATTCCTCGGCAACATGAGGGAGAACGGCCTCTCCATGAGAGAGATCGGGGCCCTGTGGAGATCAAAGACAGATGACGAGAAGGAAGAGATTAACAAGGAGGCGGCCGCCAAGCACAGCCAGAGCCTGCCTCATCACGCCGATTTGGATTTGAGCGACTTAGCGTTCCCAGACCACGCGCCCCCCCTCGGCATCGGCTGCGAGAAGTCCCCGATGCGCGTCGACGTCGCCGAACCTTTGTGCCACGGCGACGCGGTCGAGAAGGGCAAGGACGAGTGGAGGCGCATGACGGCGAGCTTGATCCCAGAGCCTCGGGAGCCTTTCGATGCAGGCGAGCCCCCGCAACTGACGTGCGGCGAGATCTATGGCCCCGGCATCTGCGCAGGCCGACTTGCTATCGATTTGAAGGGGCGTTGCGATGCTCTACGGTCGGCCCTGCGGACGTCCGCTGACCGTTTGCATCGTCACAGCCCAGCTCAGAAATCTGTGCAGCTTCTTTGTTTGCGCCCTGCGGATGGCGCCGTCGCTGCTGGCGCCCCGCGGCACGTGTTTCTCATGATCGCGTTCTCTCTGTTCAGAGACGACCCCGAGGCGGGGCACGGGTGCAAAAGGCCTTGAGGCCTTGAGGCAGCGCCGCTATGAGGAGGACGAGAAGAGGAGGGGCAGGATGGGGGGGGGCGAAGCAAGGAGGAGGAGGGGGAGGAGGAGGAGGGAGGGAAAGGCGAAGAGGAAGGGAGGAGGCTCAGGGGGGAAGAAGAGGTTCGCGAGGAGGAGGAACCGCCAGGAAAAGAAGCTCCGAACTTGCTTTCCCGATGAGCCTTAAAAGGGCCCCAAGAGAGCCCCAGGAGGGCCCCAAGAGGA